TCACTGCAACCTCTGCCTCCTGGGTTCAAGCGATTCTTCTCCCAAGTAGCTCCGGGTAGCTGGGACTCAGCTCCTCTCAAGTAGCTGGGACTACAAGCGTGCGCCACCACACCCTGCTAACTTTTGTATTTTTTTTTTTTTTTTTTTTTTTTTGTGAGACAAAGTCTCGCTCTGCCGCCCCAGGCTGGAGTGCAGTGGGCGTGACTTGGCTCACTGCAAGCTCCGCCTCCCGGGTTTACGCCATTCTCCTGCCCAGCCTCCCGATAGCTGGACTACAGCACCCGCCACCTGCCCGGCTAGTTTTTTTGTATTTTTTAGTAGAGACGGGGTTCACCGTGTCAGCCAGGATGGGTCTCGATCTCCTGACCTCATGATCCGCCGGTCTCGCCCTCCCAAAGTGCTGGGATTACAGGCTTGAGCCACCGCGCCCGGCCAACTTTTGTATTTTTAATAGAGACAGGGTTTCACCATATTGGCCAGGCAGGTCTCGAACTCCTGACCTCGTGATCCACCCACCTTGGCCTCCCAAAGTGTTGGGATTACAGGTGTGAGCCACTGCGCCCGGCCTAAAACGTTCTTGTAATAAACACCCCTTGGGTCTTTCAGTGTGCTGTTTTATTAAATATTTAGAATTTTTTCTTCAGTGTTTAGAAAATTAGTGTGTAGTTTTCTTTTTGTGAGCGATCTTTATTTCAGTATCACTTTATGAAAACAGTTTGGAAGTCCTGATAATTCTTAGTTGAAAAAGAATTTTGATAGCCTGTCTTTAAGCTTAAGTAAATTTTGTAAAACTTTATTTTTGACAAAAGGGATGGTAAGTCTCACCACATTCTCTATTTGCTCTATGGGAATTGATCTATATAAACATTTTATTAATATCTGTCTCTTCCATGGTCAGTTTTGATAAATTATATTTTTCTAAAAAATTATACATTTTAAGCTGGGCACGGTGGTTCATGCCTGTAATCCCAGCACTTTGGGAAGCTGAGGTGGGTAGATCATGAGGTCAAGAGTTCAAGACCAGCCTGGCTAAGATGGTGAAACCCCGTCTCTACTAAAAATACAAAAATTAGCCGGGTGCGGTGGCATGCGCTTGTAATCGCAGCAACTTGAGAGGCTGAGGCAGCAGAATTGTTTGAAGGCAGTGGGGTGGGGTGGGGGTCGGCAGGCAGAGGTGGAGGTTGCAGTGAACAGAGATCACGCCACTGAACTCTAGCCTGGGTGACAGACTGAATCTCCGTTCAAAAACCAAAAGCCAAAAAACAAAAAAAAACAACAAATTATCCATTTTAGCTATGTTTTCAAATTTATTAGCATAGTCATCTGTCCTCTGTATTCATGATCATTTTTACTTTGTTCTTATTTCTATGTCTGTACTTTCTTGCTGTTTTCAATATCTTAACCACGGTTTATATTTTGTTGATTAAAAAACTGGTTTATGAGGCCAGGCGCGGTGGCTGACGCCTGTAATCCCTGCACTTTGGGAGGCCAAGACAGGTGGATCACCTGAGGTCGAGTTTTTGACCAGCCTGGCCAACATGATGAAACCCATCTACTAATAACGCAAAAACCTAGCTGGGCATGGCGGCCCGTGCCTGTAATCCCAGCTACTCCGAAGACTGAGGCAGGAGGATCGCTTGAACCGGGAGGTGGAGGTTGCAGCAATCCAAGATCAGGCCACTGCACCCCAGCCTGGGCAACAAGAGCAAAACTCCATCTCAAAAAAAAAAATTTGTTTATGCTTTATTACTTCTATTTCTGTATTCTGATTCTGCTTTATATCGGTTAATATTTTTCTTCTGCTTTGCTTCAGCTTAATTTTATTTTCTTTTTTTGAGTGAGACTTTTAATGATGTTTTTCACTTTTGCTGTGTTTTAGTTTTTAAATTTTCTTATAAGCACTATGGTTATATTTTATAGATACTTATATGAAAGTTTTCAAAATGTAGACTTTATTATTATTATTATTATTTTTTTTTTTTTTTTTTTTGAGACGGAGTCTCGCTCTGTCGCCCAGGCTGGAGTGCAGTGGCGCAATCTCGGCTCACTGCAAGCTCCGCCTCCCGGGTTCACGCCATTCTCCTGCCTCAGCCTCCTGAGTAGCTGGGACTACAGGCGCCCGCCACCGCGCCCGGCTAATTTTTTGTATTTTTAGTAGAGACGGGGTTTCACCGTGGTCTCGATCTCCTGACCTTGTGATCCGCCCGCCTCGGCCTCCCAAAGTGCTGGGATTACAGGCGTGAGCCACCGCGCCCGGCTATTATTATTATTTTTAAAGAAACAGAGTCTTGCTCTGTCACCCAACCTAGAGTGCAGTGGCATAGACAGAACTCACTGCAGCCTTGACCTCCTGGGCTCAAGCACTTCTCCTACCTTAGTCTCCCAAGTAGCTGGGACTATAGCACACCACCGCGCCCAGCTAATTTTTTAATTTATTTTTTTTAGAGATGAGGTCTTGCCATGTTGCCCTGACTGGTCTCAAACTCCTGGGCTGAAGAAATCCTCCTGCCTTAGCCTCCTAAAGTACTGGGATTACAGGTGTGAGCCACCGCACCTGGCCTCCCATGACTTTCAAAAAAACTAAAATACAGCCAGGTGCCCTGGCTCATGCCTGTAATCCCAGCACTTTGGGAGGCGGAGGCGGGAGGATCAGTCAGGAGTTTGAGACCAGCCTGGTCAACATGGTGAAACCCTGTCTCTACTAAAAATACAAAATACCAAAAAAAAAAAAAAAAAAAAAGCCAGGTGTGGTGGTACACGTCTGTAATCCCAGCTACTTGGGAGGCTGAGGCAGGAGAATCACTTGAGCCCAGGAGGGAGAGGCTGCAGTGAGTGAGCCGAGGTCACACCACTGCATTCCAGCCTGGGTGACAGAGGGAGACTCCATCTCAAAAAACAAACAAACAAAAACAAAAATACTGTTTCAGATCTTATTTTCCTGTGGACCTAAGAGTTATTTAATATAGACTTTTGAATTTTCAGGTAGATTTTAGTTTTAGTTTTTTAAATTTTGTTATTAATTTCTAGTTTTAGTAGAAAATGTCTATATGATTTCAACTTTTTTTTTTTTTTTTTTGGTTAACTCCTAGTTGTGTTTCTAGATTTCAACTTTTTAATAGAGACCACATTGCCATAATTGAAAACCTCATCCTGTTTCTCTCTCATACACAACTCATTCAGCACGTAGATTTTCCTCTGGCTGTTCCTGTTGCTGGCTTGCTATCCTCTGGCCTACATCTGATGTGACGTTTCTTAGCAAGTCCTTCACATTCAGATGACTGCAGCATTTGAACATGCACATTACTTTTGTCCACATTACTGAGTTACAAGCATATCCTATCTTTTTGTGCCATGAATTTCATAAGAACTTCAATAAGATACAGATGTGTTTTCCTGTCTAAAAAATCACTGATACACATTTCCTAAAAGTACAGGAATGGCCTTGACTATGAGGGAATGGAAAGGACAAAACTTGAGCAATGGGAGGAAAGAACAAAACCAGTTGAACATTTGGCAAATGAATGAGTAAGAGAATAAGTTGGCCGGGCTCGGTGGCTCAAGCCTGTAATCCCAGCACTTTGGGAGGCCGAGACGGGCGGATCACGAGTTCAGGAGATCGAGACCATCCTGGCTAACACGGTGAAACCCCGTCTCTACTAAAATACAAAAAAAAAAATTAGCCGGGCGAGGTGGCGGGCGCCTGTACTCCCAGCTACTCGGGAGGCTGAGGCAGGAGAATGGCGTGAACCCGGGAGGCGGAGCTTGCAGTGAGCTGAGATCCGGCCACTGCACTCCAGCCTGGGCAACAGAGCTAGACTCCGTCTCAAAAAAAAAAAAAAAGAGAATAAGTTGAAGGAGAGATTGAGTAGGTAGAACTCCTCAATACCTTTGCTATGGTGTAGAGACAAAGAAAAAGTTACCCATAGCTATGTGAAGGAGCAAATGGGCAGTGTACTGCATAGGTAAGGGCATAAGCGGTGGCGGATGCGTAGGAATATATAGCCACCTATTTCCATTCTTGTATTTAGCTGGGCTACCTTGGATGAATAAAGAGAATATTTAATCATTGTAGTAAGGCATGAGAGACTAGAGGCAGAGAGATACATTTAGAACAAGTATATAGCTATGGGAATTAAATGAGTAAAACCTATTATATGCTTAGCATTTATTACTTAATGTAGAGTTAACTAGGGATTGTTTCTGTCCTTGAGGAGATTTATAGGTAAGAATAAACAGTATGACAATTGGAGAAGTTAATAAATATATAATTTTTAAATTGAGAGCTATTATAAAGGCAAGGAATAGAGAATAGCAACATGGATTTAGGTACTATCAATAGGGTCAACCTTAAAGGAAATGACTTTTACTCTAAGATCTCAGGATGAAAGGAGCCAGCGATGCAAAGAGCCCAGTCAGGAGATTTGTGGGAGATGGAACAGACTGTGAAGAGTCCTAAGAGATGGAAGTAAGTTAGGACATGTGAGGTCTACAAGGAGACCTCTCCAGGGAGCAGTAAAGGGGATACTGTGTTGAGATCATATGATGTAGGTAAGCCTTCTTAACCACAGTGAGATTGAGTGGATTCTAAGAATGACGAAAGATGAAAAAAATGTAGGTATAGATTCTCAACCTCTCATCTTCATCAGAATTGTCGTGTAGAGAATATTAAATATCCTTCCAGGACTGCAGAGTCTGATCCAGGTGGTTTGGGTGGTGTCTAAACTTCAGTGTTAGTAACCAGCTACGGTGGTGATTGTGATCCACACCTCAATATGAGAACCACTGACTTAAAATGTTTATTTAATCACCAATCTTGCTATATGGTATGAACTCTCATTTTTCCTGATGTTCCCTTTGGCTTTTTTTTTTCTTCCAAATTGTATAACCAATTTTAGAGTTTGGTTGAGGATTACTTTTGTTGTCTTTTATTTCTACATTAGAAATGTTGCTTCTTTTAGTGAAAGAAAACAGCATGTGTTTGCTTTCTTGTTTCATTTTAGATTTGGAGACCAAGTATGAAACCAAGAAGTTATCTTTAGAAAATGACATTTATGAAATAAATTTATCCCCGTGGAAGATAATGGAAAGAATTAAAAACCATGGCCTTAAGGGTCTCATTTTAAAACATGATTGGGAATCCACAGGAAAAATGGAAGGACAGGAGAGACCTCAAGAAGGATACTTCAGTAGTGTGAAAATGCCATCTGAAAAGGTGTCCTCTTACCAGAAACGCACATCTGTTACTTCACATCAGAGACTTCATTTTGTCGATAAACCCTATGAATGTAAGGAATGTGGGAAGGCGTTCAGAGTGCGCCAACAGCTTACTTTTCATCACAGAATTCATACTGGTGAAAAACCCTATGAATGTAAGGAGTGTGGGATGGCCTTCAGACAGACTGCACACCTTACTCGACATCAGAGACTTCATTCTGGTGAAAAACTCTATGAATGTAAGGAATGTGGGGAAGCTTTCATATGTGGTGCAGATCTTAGAGTACATCAGAAAATGCATATTGGTGAGAAGCCCTATGAATGTAAAGAATGTGGGAAGGCTTTTAGGGTACGAGGACAACTTACTCTGCATCAGAGGATTCATACTGGTGAGAAACCCTATGTGTGTAAAGAGTGTGGAAAGGCCTTTAGACAGTATGCACACCTGACTCGGCATCAGAAGCTTAATAGTGCTGACAGGCTCTATGAGTGCAAAGAATGTGGGAAGGCGTTTTTGTGTGGCTCTGGTCTTAGAGTACATCACAAACTTCATACTGGTGAGAAACCCTATGAATGTAAGGAATGTGGAAAGGCCTTTAGAGTGCGGCAACAGCTAACACTGCATCAGAGAATTCACACTGGTGAGAAGCCCTATGAATGTAAGGAATGTGGGAAGACCTTCAGCCGTGGTTATCATCTTATTCTCCATCACAGAATTCATACTGGTGAAAAACCTTATGAATGTAAGGAATGCTGGAAAGCCTTTAGTCGCTACTCACAACTTATTTCACATCAGAGTATTCATATTGGTGTTAAGCCCTATGACTGTAAGGAATGCGGGAAGGCCTTTAGACTACTTTCACAGCTCACACAGCATCAGAGTATTCATATTGGTGAGAAACCCTATAAATGTAAGGAATGTGGCAAGGCCTTTAGATTGCGCCAAAAACTTACTCTACATCAGAGCATTCATACTGGTGAAAAACCCTTTGAGTGTAAGGAGTGTAGGAAGGCCTTTAGACTTAATTCATCCCTTATTCAACATCTGAGAATTCATTCTGGTGAGAAACCCTATGAATGCAAGGAATGTAAGAAGGCCTTTAGGCAACATTCACACCTTACTCATCATCTGAAAATTCATAATGTAAAAATCTAAGAAAGTCTTTTCAACTTCTGTGTAATAGAACATTCTATGAATGTAGTAATTAATCTCTTTTGCTCCATACATGCAACTGACTTGGCATTAGAGATTTTATACCATTAAAAGAGTGTGATAATGTATTGTATTCCGTCATCACTCAAACCTGAAACTTCAGCACATTTGTTCTAAAAACGAATCCTGTTATAAGAATGAGAAAGATACCGTCATCCCTATCCCATCACTTTGTGTCATACTGGACAAGAAGCTTAACTGCTGTGTGCTTTAATTTTTTAATTTATGAAATGGTCATATAAGAGTGCAGCAATTTGACACTCTTTCAATCAAGAGGTGGAATTTACATCCCTCTGTTGTATATAGGCAGACTCTGTGACTGCTTCGCCCCATAGAATATGGTAGATGTACTGCTGTGCTGGTTTCTTGACTCAGACTTTACTGGTAGAGTTACTTCATCTCATGAAATGAGAGAACTGTCATGTTACAGAGTCTGGCTACTGTGCTGAAGAAACCACATGAAGAGGCCCTGAAACTACATAGAGAGGGAGAGGCACCTGCTGAACCCTGTCTTCTTGACATCTGCCAAGATACCAGACATTTGAGTGAAATTTTGGATCCACCAGACCAGCCACCAGCTAAATGCCACTGAGTGACTTGGTAACATCAACTGATGCCATGTAGAATGGAAGAATTGACCAGCTGAGCCCCTGCCCAAATTTCTGACCCACAAAAACATGAGATATAATAAAATGGTTGTCATTTTAAGCCACTAAACTTTCTTTTATTATCATATTTAATATTTCTTTGTAGATAAATCATACTAAAGGCTATGGGCATAATGAATATAGAAATGCCTTCTACCAACATTTATCCTTCATTGAACTTGAGATATCTTACTCTCATTAAAATATTGAAAGTAAGGAATTCCTTTCCAATTTGTTCATTAAAAAACAGATATCCTAGACCAGGTGAGGTGGCCCATGCCTGTAAATCCAGCACTTTGGGAGGCCAAGTAAGGAGGACTGCTTGAGGCCAGAAGTTCGAGACCAGTCTGGGCAACATCGTGAGACCCTGTCTCTACCAAAAAAACTTTAAAAATTAGCTGGGCATGGTGGTGCATGCCTGTAGTCCTAGCTACTTGGGAGGCTGAGGTGGGAGGATCACTTGAACCCAAGAGTTGAGGCTTCAGTGAGCTGTGATTATACCACTGCACTCAAGCTTGAGTGACACAGCAAGACCCTATCTCAAAAAAAAAAAAAAAAAAAAAATCTACAATCAGCATTCTCTGGCCCCAGTCAATATTAAAAATTGACAAAGGATAACATGAAACTTTGGAAATCAAAAATCACCTTATTATAAAGCTCCATTAATTTTTTTAAATTACTTCATTGTAGTTTTTAAAAATGCTAAATTGTCCTATATTTGGCCAATGGCAATCCCCTCAAATTGACTCCTGTGTCCTTTTATCATGAGCACTCCAACCTTTCAGCTTTTTTTTTTTTTCCTGAACCAAATGCATTGATGAGTTATGGAGCATACTTAGAGCATTATTAACAAAGGAAAAGAATAGAATATTTACCTTGCCTATCCTTTACGGACTATATTTCAAGACAACCAAAAGTTGGTGAAGGAAAGTTGTTTATTATTAGAGAATTCCAACTGGTTAAAATGTCAAAGGAGGTAGGGCGCGGTGGCTCACGCCTGTAATCCCAGCACTTTGGGAGGCCGAGGCAGGCGGCTCACAAGGTCAGGAGATGGAGACCATCCTGGCTAAGATGGTGAAACCCCGTCTCTACTAAAAATACAAAAAATTAGCCGGGCGTGGCGGTGGGCGCCTGTAGTCCCAGATACTTAGGAGGCTGAGGCAGGAGAATGGCCTGAACCTGGGAGGCGGAGCTTGCAGTGAGCCAAGATCGTGCTGCTGCACTCCAGCCTGGGCGACAGAGTGAGACTCCGTCTCAAAAAAAAAAAAGATCAAATGAATGACAGACTTTGAAAATGACACTCTTTAATTTTGCAAAATCATGGATTTTCATGGTGATAGCAATGGATGTGAAAACGATTAGGTGAAAAATGGATAGGAAGCTTATAATGCGTGGAGCAGAATGACAGGACACTAATCTATATTAACATCTAAATGAGATCAGCTAGATGCACTTGATATGATGAAATGGATGCACACTGTGGACACCTGTGAAGTTTTCTTGGCACCCCCCCCAAAACTGAGAAGTACAAGTTAGTCTCCAAACCTAATTACCAGTTTACAGGAAACATGGGGAATAAAAGAACAAATTAACAACACAAAGAAGCAAACAACCAATGCAAAATTTGGGAAATTCTGCAGAAGTAATGGCCTATTTTTTTAACGAATACATGTCAAAAAAAAAAAAAAGACAAAAATGGAATCCTGCACATTAAAGGAGACTTAAGAAACGTACCTTCAAATACAGTGTATGGAGCATTTTAGGATCCTTGTGTTAAAATGCTGCGCCTGGGATTTGTTTTAATCAATCATGGTGAGACAGGCAGACATGGAAATGATTGTCATGAAGGAAGAAGTTTATACACAGATCCCAGAAACAGGAGGCGTGGCATGGCATGCAAGGTCACCTAAAGAAGCACCCAGGTGTAGGCCAGGCGTGGGGGCTCACGCCTGTAATCCCAGCACTTTGGGAGGCCTAGGCGGGTGGATCATGAGGTCAGATCATTGAGACCATCCTGGCTAACACGGTGAAACCCCGTCTCTACTAAAAATACAAAAAATTAGCCGGGCGTGGTAGTGGGCGCCTGTAGTCCCAGCTACTTGGGAGGCTGAGGCGGGAGAATGGCATGAACCCGGGAGGTAGAACTTGCAGTGAGGTAAGATCGCGCCACTACACTCCAGCCTGGGTGACAGAGCGAGACACCATCTCAAAAAAAAAAAAAAAAAAAAAAAAAAAAGGGGAAGTACCCAGGTGTATCAGGAGGCAGACGGGGGTGAGGGCAGAGCATGGCCCAGAGCTTTTACTGGGGGTTTTCATGGGAAGGAATGGACAAGGCAGGGGTAGGCACACTGGTAAGCTTAGGATTGGATAGTTTGAGTAATTTTGTTGGTCTCTGGGCTCTAGGGGTGTTTCCTAGTTGTCTAGTTAGGGCAGGGGAATATTGAATTGGTATATGAGAGTTTGATGGAGATAGTTGGGCGTATGGGCTCTGGATTGGTTGGTCTGTATATGAAAGGCATGATTGCAAGTAGAATTTATCATCTGTGCATTAGCTTGCCCTGGGAGGGGCAGTCTCTCCAGGATTAAGGCCCCAAGTGGCCAGAGCATCAAGAATACAGAGAATAAAGAAAACATAGTCAATACAAGATTTGAAGGAATAAAATGTCTCTAGATATTGTACAAATGTAAACATGGATTGGTTACTAAATGATACTAAGTAATTTATTGTTCATATGTCAGGCATGACTATGGCATTGTGGGTATATATGTGTGAGTCCTTAAGTGTTAGAGATTCATACTGAGGTATTTGAGGCTGAAATGTCATGCCTATGATTTACTTTTAAATACTTAAGAAAAACAAAAGGTGGGAGGGATATATGAAACAAGATTAGCAAAAAGTTGGTAAATGTTTAATCTGGGTCATTTGGTACACAGGGTTCATTGTGCTGTTCTTACTATCTTTACATATATTTTAAATTTCCATCATGAAGTTTTTTAAGGTAGAAAATCAAGTTTGGGTCAGGCGTGGTGGCTCATGCCTGTAATCGCAGTACTTTGGGAGGCCGAGGTGGGTGGATCATTTGAGGTCAGGAAATCGAGACCATCCTGGCCAACATAGTGAAACTCCATCTCTAGTAAAAATTAGCTGGACATGGTGTCCTGTAGTCCCAGCTACTTGGGAGGCTGAGGCAGGAGAATCGCTTGAACCTGGGAGGTGAAGGTTGCAGTGAGCTGAGATTGCACCACTGCACTCCAGCCTGGTGACAGAGCAAGACTCCATCTCAAAAAAGAAAAAAGAAAATCAAGTCTGAAATTGTAGACTGTTTAGTGATGAATGATCACGTGTTGCCTACAGATAACTTGGGGGAAATCACCAACCAAAGCTCTACTTGGTAGAAAATTTAAAGCAATGCATTTAGAAAATCTGGATTGAGAAATAAGTATTTGTCTTGTTCACCACTCTGTTCACACACCTATGGTACCTATCACATAATAGGCAATTTATAAATGTGGTGGGAAAAAATAAGGATTAACTTAAGTTTTAAATGTTTTAAAACTAAGGTGAATAATGGCAAGTTGTTCATATGATCAAATAAATTAATGGAATAGTTAATAAAATAATAGACTAAGGATATTCTCTTTGAAAATAACATTAATATAAAATTGGCATTTATTGAGGGAAAAACATGACTCAACTTTATGTACGGAAAAGGTGAAATAGCTACATAATGAGATTTTTAAAAATTAAGTTACGTATTACTATATACGTATATTTATACATATATTTCAATGTTTCTGTATTACTATATACATATATTTCAATATGTTGCAATCTAGAGAAATCGAAATGATTACAGTTGACTCCAGATACCAAAAAAACCCTGAACTAATCCATAAATAAAGGGGAAAAAGTACAGTTATGATCTTGTTTTTTAAAAACTAGAATCTATAGATTTACAGGCAGTAAAAAGCTTTAAAAAATATATAACCCGGCCTGGCGTGGTGGCTCACGCCTGTAATCCCAGCACTTTGGGAGGCCGAGTGGGCGGATCACGAGGTCAGGAGATCGAGACCATCCTGGCTAACACAGTGAAACCCCGTCTCTACTAAAAATACAAAAAATTAGCCAGGCGTAGTGGCGGGCGCCTGTAGTCCCAGCTACTGGGGAGGCTGAGGCAAGAGAGTGGCGTGAACCCAGGAGGCGGAGCTTGCAGCAAACTGAGATTGGGCCACTGCACTCCAGCCTGGGCGACTGAGCACTGAGCGAGACTCCGTCTCAAAAAAAAAAAAAAAAAAAAAAAAGAATATATAACCCATAACAAAATCTTACTAGATCATTCTGTAAGGCAACTATCCCAATGTAGGTAGATGAGGATAAATACCTCCTAAAAAGCAAAATGTGGGCCAATTTTACTTAAGATACATGCAAACATTGGCAAAACAGTATCAGTAAATTGAACTCAATAGTCTATAAACAATTATAAAACATAAAATGATTTACTAGGAATACCCTGGGGCCTGGCCTGTTCTCATTTAAATATGTATCCAGATTGTAGGTTTCCTGACTTGAACAATGCAACAGTGTTATAAAAAATGACATGATTCAGTCACAGTATCTTTTAGATGGTTTCTATTCTCATTTATCTTAGTTTCATTGACTTTACAAAAGGAATGAACAATACATATAAAAATAGGAATTCAACACAAAAATTATTACCTCTTTTTTTAGTCTGTTTTGTGTTACTATAAAAGAATACTGGCTGGGCATGGCTCATGCCTGTAATCCCAGCACTTTGGGAGGCTGAGGCTGGTGGATCACTTGAGGTTAGGAGTTTGAGATCAGCCTGGCCAACATGGCGAAACCCCATCTCTACTAAAGATACAAAATTAGCCAGGCGTGGTGGCGCATGCCTGAAATCCCAGCTACTCGGGAGGCTGAGACAGGAGAATTGCTTGAACCTGGGAGGTGGAGGTTGCAGTGAGCTGAGATTGCACCACTGCACTCCAGCCTGGGCAACAGGAGCGAAACTGCATCTCAAGAAGAAAAAAAAAGAAGAATACCACAG